TGCTTGCGGCTTCAAGGCGGCTTGTTTGCCTGTGGGCATGTCGTCTGCCGAGTCGCATTGTATAGCTATATATATATATATATATATAGATATATAGCTATATGTTCGCCAGCGAAGCCCCCAAACCGTGTGGTTCTACCAAACTAATGTGTGCAATCTATGTGGACCATTCTATGCGGTGCAATATAGGTAGTGCGTTCTATGTGGTGCAATCTGTAGTTTGTTGAATCAGCGTTGTGCAGAATATGTGGTGCCGTCTATGTTGTGCAGTTTGTGGCGCAATCTACGTGGCGCACTTGTTTTTCACAAGTGGGTTGACACAACCCATGCAGTTGCAAAACATCCCACCCACCCACCCGCAACTAGGTTTTTCAAGACCCATGCAGCGGCGATTACGATGAGTGCTTGGCGTTGGCTGGTGCGTCTCTGCGGCAGCGCCGACCCAAACACGCGCGCGCAGCGGCCAGCTAGGTCGGCGCGACCGGCGCGGCCACGGTGGCGCTGACCGCTGGGCACATCCCACTGGGCATTTCAGTGCGAGTGGGCGACTTCGGCGGACGCGGTATCATGGCAATGTCGGCACCGGTAGACACGATGATGATAGTAGCGATGCTGGTGACGTTGTTGGCAACGACGACGGCGCGGCCAGTGACGGCGCCGATGCTGATCACGCCGACGACATGACGGCGTCCTCGCATCGGTGGTGAAGGTTTTTGGAAAGATTTCGACATGCGCGCGCGGCCGACGCGCGACAGTGGCCCGCATGTTTTTAGTTGACACGGATCGTGCTCCCCTCCAGCGCGCGCGCAATGGCGTGCGAATGATTTCGGCTTGCTGCGCGAAGGGCCCGTTTGGCAGTTGTGTTGTCCATGAAACTGTTGAACCCGTTATATATACACAAAAGCATACATATACATATATATATATATATGTTTATATGTATATATGATACAACATAAGCCCAAACAGGAATTCGCAAGAACGCGAGCGTAGGCGTTTTTTTTTTTTTTTTTTTTTTTTTTTTTTTTTTTTTTTTTTTTTTTTTTTTTTTTTTTTTTTTTTTTTTTTTTTTTTTTTTTTTTTTTTTTGTAAACTGATGTTGCGAAGCCATGTGTTGTTGTACGTTTGTTGGACATTCGGTTTGGAAGTTGCTACGGAATTGAAGGTTGTTGACGGATATCGGCATTCGCCCGCGACGACGCGCGCGCGTGCACGTTTTTGGTTGTGCAAAAGGATCCTCGCGAGGGCACGCATGCAAAGGGCGTTCGAACGACTTCGACACGCGCGAGCAAAACCGTTGTGGTAGCACGTTTAATGTAAATGATGGAAGCCAATGGTTTTCTTAAGACTATGCAAGAGCGCGCGCAAGTTTTATGTGTTATCTATAAACTGTATGTGTAGTGTATATATATATGTATATATATATATATATATATATATATATATATACGATCCGTGTTGCGAAAACTGGTGTTTGTTTTTAAACATTTGATTTTGACATCGCTACGAAACCGAAGGTTTTTAACGAATTTCGGCATGCGCGCGCGACGACGCGCGCGTGTGCATTTTTTTGCAAGGGATTGTTGAGAGCTGACGATTTGTGATGAACGAGTGCGCGCGCAAAGTATTTTTTTGGAGAGGGTGGCGGAGGGGGGCGCAGACCAGCTTGGTTGGGATGGTACGGGTTCGTGAGGAGTTGTCAACTCCATGGCTCGCGCAATCAACCCACCCACCCGCAACTTTGTTTGCAAAACCCACGCCGCGGCGATTGCGATGACTGCTTGTCGCGGGCTGGCGCATCGCTGCGGCCGCGCTGGCGCGCGCGGGCTCGCGCGCAGAGTGGCCTGGTATGCGTGCGCGGCCGACGCGGCCGCGGTGGCGCTGACCGTTGGGGATTGTCCACCGCATCTCGCAGGCCGCGCTGGCAAGCGAGCGTTTCACTGCGAGTCGGTGACTCTTTCGGGCGCTGTTTCATGGTGACGTCGACAACGGCGGACACGATGATGATAATTGCGATGGTGGTGGCGACGATGACGATGACGAGCGCAACGCCAATGACGGCGCCGATGCTAGTCACGCCGGCGACGATGATGGTATCCACATGTCGGTGATGGAGGTTCTGGAAGGATTTCGACATGCGCGCGCGGCTGACGCGCGCGAGTGGGCCGCGTGGCGTTGCTTTACATGGGACGTTCCTCTCCCCAGCGCACGCGCGCCAGGGCGTTCGAATGATGTCGAGATGCGCGCGTGAAAAGGCCCGTTTGGTCGCACGTGGCGGAAACATGTTGAAACGCTTGTTTTCCATAGTTTGCAAAAGCGCGCGCAAACTTCTGTGACATTTTTTATTACAGAGCAGCAACACCACGTTTTTCTGTTAAGCTTTTCTCGGGGCGCTCGATTAGGATGTTCCTTACGACGCCCGGGGTGTTTGAAGGATGTCGGTATGCGCGCGCGATCCCGCGCGCGTGTGCATTTCGTCATATTGTTTTGCAAGGCGTCT